GTTGACTGAAACAGACAGAAGAGAGCAGACGGATAGTTGGGGGGGGGGGAGGATATTAGCGCGGGACACCCTACCAGCTGAAATATATATATGATACACAAAATAAATAATATAATTCAAGTAAACACAATAAAAAAATAAATAAATCAAATAAACAATTAAAATAAGTAGACTAACAAACACATAAAAATAATCAAAATTAAAATATACTTTATAAATAAATAGCATATACAAACAACGAATCTATATAGGCAGGCATGTTTCTTTAAAAACTTTTTCTCGTAATTTTACAGGTCTTGATAAAAACTAAACAATTAACATAAAGATAATATAAATCTGACAACTAATAGCAAAATGGCAGCTAAAAATGATTTGGAAGTAGCTCAAACTAAATACATCAAATATTACACAGTTAATTTTATTTATTTATATAACAATTTTAAAAACATGGGAGACCGTTGTGTGTGTGGCTTATACAGGATTAATTTAACCTTTGTAAGATTAATATTCGCAGAGTTAGTTTTTGATCAAGCATTATGTTTATTGGAACACCAAAATTAGTTTTAAGCTGTATTGTGTTTAATTCGATTATAGCTTTGAAAATAAAACATCTATACTATTATAAAATTGAGGTGGTGTCTGTCTGTGTGTAGCTCTCACGACTAAAATACTAAACCGATAAAGCCAAAATTAAGCACAAATATGGTCCACATATCTAGAAACGTCATAGGCCTATTCACTTACCTGATTTCCTCTAGGGCTACGCCCCTTTGACGTCCAAAGTTTTTAGGTGAGGTTTTCAAAAGTAAAAATGTTATTTGGTCTCCATGGAAGCATGAGAAAATTCACAATGTTTACCTTTGCATTGATATTGAAATTTAAACAATGATAACTGACAAATGCTCATAGAATTTCAGACAGCTGATCCAAAGAAAATATATTTTACACAACTATGTGGTAGGATTATTTAATCTAAAACTTTATGATAGATTATTTGCTCTAAATCTATTTCAATGATTATGAAACTAATTTTTGTTCCCGTTGTAAGGCACGGGTACAGCAGCTAGTATGATATATACTTTGGAAAAATTAAAATCCAAAGCTACGTACAGTATTTGTTTTTTCATACAGTGAATAAGGTAATTTCTTTAATAAATATTTTAATATTCAATTAAAACATTAATATCTTTCAGTCCTTCTTGATACCTTGAAAATATGAAAAGACCTGTTATAAATAAAGTTAAACTTTCAATAATTTGAATTTTTATGGAAAATATTTCGTTATCAGCAAACCAATTTATTTTCAACTGGGAGCTGGAAGACATCATTTAAGAAACTACATGAAATATAACAACGTAGGAGACTCGGTTTCTGGCAGAGATGTGTTGTGTGTTCTTAGGGTTATAGTAAGACATTTTTCATGTGAAATGGAGTCTCCAATGATAAAGAAAGTCATTCCTTGCAAAACCCCCATCAGTTCTACCACTCTTCTTGTTTCTTTCGTAAATCTTTAACTCCTCTATATCCATCTTTTGTTCAACAGTACATTTTGTAATAAAATTACACAGTTCGTTTATCGAATGGATACAAATTCGAAGTAGTTTTATCAATAAGTTAGACGAGATAAAACTACTTGATAGTAGTGTTATACTAATAATTAACTAAATTTGTCATACATTAAACTTATATGCAATCAAATATATCTAATTCTATATATGTTTCAAACCCATCTTTTAAACCAAAATAATGGTGCAGTAAACATTATTTGAGGCTAAAACACTATCCATGGTTTTGGATCGTTATAATAACGTAAACTTAGTACAATCTTTGACTTGATTCAACTTCTGTATCCAAAAAGTCAATACTACATTTTTAGTATGATGAGGTGAATCTGGACAAGATTAACGAAGCTATTAATCTTACTGCTTTATTTATTTGGAATGTATCCAGCAAAGCAAGGGGTGGGTCGGGGCAGTACGAAGGTGAACTGATAAAATGTTTACCCAACCCGCCATGTTAAACTTCTCTATCCCAAGCGTGATGGATACAACTTTTTACTTCTCGAGTGATGTAAAGTTGAGAAAAACTCACTCGGTGAGGAAATGAAACCCATTTAAATAACATTGAGTGCTTAACTTAAAAAAATATACTCGCTTCCGCTCGTTGCACAACATTCACCTGCGTGATGTAAAAACGCTCTTACTACACTTGTAAGGTAAATAGCTATTACCCAACCCGCCATGTTAAACTTCCCTATCCCAAGCGTGATGTAAAGTTTCGAAAACTAACTCGGTGAAGTAATGAAACCCATTCAAATATCATTGAGTGCTCAACTTAATAAAATATACCTCTATGGAACCAGCGACGTTCAACGCTAGAAATCAACTGTGCGCTTGAATATTATTGTTATGCGTTAAAGTATTTTCCTAACCTAGCTTTTGATTGCAAAAAAAACTTTTCTGTTAGAAGATGAGTGAAATGGATAATGAAAAATATTGTACGTAGCCACCTGTATAAAATCATGTACGTTACACGTTACGCAAGAGCGTGTTTACATCACTGCGTATATAGATTGAAAAGATGCCATGTTTTGGACCTAAGTTGTCGTTTTTAGAAATTTATGGACTTAAAACTTTGTATCAATATGCAAAGTTTGTGTGTTAGCTTTATTGTTGGATAAAGACTAACTCCTGTATTAAAACTTTATCATATTTACTTATTGTTCTATTTTTGTTGAACAGATTGTAAATTCAATAAAATGTAAAAAATATACCCCCGCCGCAGCAAACCTGCAGACTAAGCGAATTTCCATTTGCCTGATTGGATTTACACTAAAATGTCTCCTTAAAAATATCACATTTATTCCCTATTTAAATCGAATCAGTTTAATACATACTTAGGTTTGCTGCAACAGGGAGGGTTAAAGTGTTTTTTTATGTAAAATGTTAATAGTTAGTAAGAAATAAAAACATTTTCCAAATTTGGGCAAAATATGTTAATAAATAAGCAAACTACAACAGTTTACTTATCCTCCATAAGAATAACATGGGAATTTTAAATTTACAATTTTTTTGAATTTTCTCCGTAACCATTAGGCGCATTATAACGCTTCAATATACTAAATTATTTGTTTTTTTAAGCTCTACAAAATAGTTTGGAAAGAAATTGCAAAAATTTAAGTTTTTTGGGTCAAAAATGGGAAAAACCCATTTTTACCCCATAAAAGCCCCCATAAACCCCCGTTCCCATGGTCCGATCATGCTGGTTCGCGAACTCGTTCGAATAAACGTAGGTTTACACGTTTGTACCAAATTTCATCAAAATCGGATCATTTTTGCTCGAGTTATCGCGCTAACGGACACACATATATATAAATATATATATATATATAAATAAATATATATATATATATATATATATATATGAATTTTAACGGATGCTATTTTTGGCCTCTAGGGACCTCAAAACGAAAAAAAAAATCGGTCCCGGGTCCAGGTCTTACCATGAGTACTACGGTAATAGCTTATTCCCTATATGGGAAATTCGCTAAAAGAAGATGAGTGAAATGGATAATGAAAAATATTGTACGTAACCCCCTGTATATTGTCGGGTAAGGTAAATTCTTGTGTTTACATCACTTAGGTGAATTATGAAACTCGCTTCCGCTCGTGTCACAGTATTCACCTGCGTGATGTAAAAACGCTCTTACTACACTCGTAAGGTCAATAGCTATTACGGCAGTGCCCAGGACCGAACCCACATCTTTGCCTTGGGCCCGAAGTCCGTGATGCTACCAACTGAGCCACCGACTCAACAACTGGGTTCATGGTTCAATCTTAAAGGTTTTTAGCTATTGAACGTTCAATACTCGATATAAATCCCTTGATAATCTGGATTTAACAGACGGCTTCGACTAAAAAACAACTAATGACTGTATAATTGGTTCACTGTTTTGTATGATGAAAGTGCATCTACGGGATTTGCAAGTCAAGTTATGAACATTCAAAATGCATTAAATAAATGGCTATAATTAAAAAATATACTGATTGATAAATGTGCACAAATATATTTAAAATATTAAATCTATGTATTAAAATGTGTTTTATAATGCAAAGTTAACTATAAAGGAAGGATTATAGAAGAAAATAAGTCACCCCACACATTTTGATATATTTAAAATCATAATGTAAACATCTAAAATGTAGCAAAAATAAGTACAAACGAAATAGCTTCTTGATCAGCACAGTTCATGTTATTAAATTACCTGAAAGTACAAATATACGTTAAATAACACTTGTAATAATATATTTACACTTATACTGTTTACTCACAAGACGGTAAATACATATAAAAGATGGTAAGGGGTGATCGATTTCGATTAGACACTCCAACCGAATAGGTCTGATGATGATTGGAGTAATAGGTCTGATGATGATTGGAGTGTGCAATCAAAATGGGTCACCACTTAACATCTTTATAATATGTATTTACCGTCTTGTGAGTAGACAGTATAACTGTAAATATATTATTACAAGTGTTTTTGACGGATATTTGCACTTTCAAGTATAATATGTCACAATACTCTTACAGTTCTGACGAGTCAAGTAATTTTTACACCTAATTAAAACAATTGTCTCCCTCCGATTGGACCTGATGATAGCCTTCGTACGTTACAACCAATCACCACTGTACAATATTGTATATATGCTTTCCTTCTTGGAAACATGTTTACAAAAGCGTCGAAACATTTCATAGGTATTTTTCAATTCCTACCATACCCTCCAACGCAAATGCTAATCAAGAATTAGGTTAATTATTATGCTATTGATGGTCCAGCCCTACATGCAGGTGTAGTGCAAGGGGATGCCGGGAGGGGCGAGGGAGGTGCGCAGACGGTTGCCATGACGACGGGACGCTCAGCATCCACGGGAGTCAGTCGGTGCCGTCCGGTGGTCCAAGACCGAGGTGTGACGTCACGGTTTATATAGTGCGTTTATTGCCGAGGGAGTGGCTTAACGTAAGGGTAGTATTGTAGTGCGGTCATGTAGTTAATTCGTTTCGATAAAAAAAAACTAGTGCCGGTCGGATAATGGATTAAAATTAATTTGTAAGTATGGTATTGAGTTGCTGTTTATAATGTGGAAATTATTAGAGTTGGGTGTGTATATTGTTACTATGATGAAGGATTTTACAAAATTAAACAATATGGATGTTGTGCAAAGTAGACTACAATTATTCGATAAACAATCCTGTAAGTTTATCTGATTTGTGGGCTATTTTGTTAATCTTACACCCCGAAAGTGGTCTAAAACATAATTTACTAGAGGTGTTGAAAATTTGAAAATCTAACTCACCCTCCTTAGTTCTGACGTAATTGACAACAGCTAGTTTATTTAGGTGAGGTTTATTATTGACCATGATCTTCCTGCTAACTATCTCCTCCAGTAAATCGGAGAGTTTATTGAAAAAAATGATTTTACTCAGATGACATAAGATAAATACAGGTTGGACAAAGTAAACGGAAGTTACCTAGGCGAAAATAAGACAGGAAATTAAGGCGAGCAAAAAATAAAACATAGGTACCTTAATTAGTTAGTTTCTTTAAAACCTTAATCTACAGGTAGATGATTATCAAGCACAAAGCTTTTGAATAGAGGATTATTTACCTATTCATAACATTCAGGAAGAGTTAGTCTATATTTAGTAATTTCAACATTCTAACGTAGATTGTTTCATGAACGAGTTGAAAAGCATTCGAACCTCATAAAGCGATGCAAAGAAGCTAATAATATCAGCTGAGCAAAACACATGAAATCCTAACTGACAAAAAGCTATTTCGATTACTTAAAAGGGTAAAATGGTAAACTTGTTCTTTAACAGGGGTTCTATTTACTTCTAAAATAAATATGAGTATTTTGATTAGTTCCTAGATATAATATTGTCAATACTAAATTTGCAAAATAAAGCACAGAAATGATTAAAGATTTCAGTACCAACTCGTTCATTAGGGGGTGGTTCGTTAATTACTGTACCTTGAGGATGACAATTTGATCCCATCATCTTTGGATGATGGTAATTTGTTTAGCGAGGTAATGACAACACTCTTACTGTGTGATTAATTGGTCTTTCGAACAGTTTTTACATATAAAATGTATAGTGTATTCTATGCCACAAACAATTATTCATTATAATGTTAAAAAATTAAAAATCATTAGTGTTTAATGTTGTGTGTTTAAAACTTCAATATGATATGCTGAATTGGAACAAGAAATATGTTTAGTGATCTCGGATCTCGGCAATAGGACAAAGAACAGGGTACTAGCATATTGTTAAATTTATTAGGTATCAAGGCTAAATGATTTTATATCAAGCAATGACAAACACAGCCTTTGATTTGCCAGTTGATAGGAACAAATTTGCTTGAAATATATATCGGCAATTCATAATCTTAGCCTCGACCAATTTAACAAGGCTGAGTTAGGCAATGCATTTACTGTTTAATAAAATCTAAAATAGGCATTCAAATTAAAAAGCTTTGATTAAAAAAGCCTAACTATGTGATAGCTACTGGTTTTATGGATCTAGAGCATGGAAAGTATAATAAATGTCACCTGTGTATCACTTGGCTTAGTATATTTAACCTTATTTAGTTAAGATTTTTATTAGATTTATCTGACAATAATAAGGATGTAAGATAATATCTGTGTGTATATTAACTCATACTGTAGGCCTAAATATGTATGAGTCGTTAAATTACATACATATGTTACAATAACTATCTATTAGGTGAGTCGGTGATTCAGTTGGTAGCGTTACGGCAGCGATGTCGTGGGTTCGGATCCTGGTCACTGCCGAAAACATTTTATCAGTACAGTTTACATTCGTTCTGTACCGGCTCACCCCTTGCTCTGCTGGATACGTTCCACGCACAAAACAGCCGTCTATGTAGACGGGCAACTGCAAGGTTAAAAGGTCCCTCTAAAAAAAATTCGATCAAGTAGGGAAAATTACTTATTTGCACTTAAAAATATTTATAACACGGTATAAATAAAAAGTATATTTTCTCGATTCTGTCAGGCCATTTTATAACCTCCTCTACGGTGGATAGATTCAAGGATCTCTTGACAGAATACAAGTAAAATATATTTTTGACGAGTAACGTAGTTCAACACGAGCGGATATTAATATACACTAAACTTGTTACTATTCAGATTATTATTATTTACAGGGTGTTTTTGAAGACAGCCACTAAACTTAATACAGTCATAGTGTCCGGTTTTTTTCTTGATGTTTTATTAATTTATGTTTGTTTAAAACCCCCAGCTACTCGAGGACGAGTATTTAGATAAGTAGAGGCAATATGCCGGTTTAACATCACTTTAGGCACGTTTTCCCCATAAGAATAACATGGTGAGCTTTTTTTGATCACTTTTTTAAAAATCCAGCTCTCGGCCTATACAAGCCTATATAAATGTTCAATACCATTGTACAACACTATTACTATTTCAAATCCACATCCATTCACAAAATCGAGCGAGGTTTGCACGCGAACTCGTGCGCGCTCCCCCATATAAAATGTATGCTACCCATATAAAATAATGTTAAATTCTTTTCTTACTTTTTGATTTTTTTATGTTGTAATATTGTTTATAATCAAAAGTTGACACCCACTACGTTTGCCAGAATTTCAACCGTTTTGCCGTATCTCAAGCCGTTTTCGAGATATAAGCGTTTTTAGATAGTTTTACGGACTTAGACGATTTTTCATGGTAAATTTTATTTGTACCCATATAAAATAATGTTAAATTTTTTTCTTACTTTTTGATTTTTTTATGTTGTAATATTGTTTATAATCAAAAGTTGACACCCACTACGTTTGCCAGAATTTCAACCGTTTTGCCGTATCTCAAGCCGTTTTCGAGATATAAGCGTTTTTAGATAGTTTTACGGACTTAGACGATTTTTCATGGTAAATTTTATTTGTACCCATATAAAATAATGTTAAATTTTTTTCTTACTTTTTGATTTTTTTATGTTGTAATATTGTTTATAATCAAAAGTTGACACCCACTACGTTTGCCAGAATTTCAACCGTTTTGCCGTATCTCAAGCCGTTTTCGAGATAAAAGCGTTTTTAGATAGTTTTACGGACTTAGACGATTTTTCATGGTAAATTTTATTTGTACCCATATAAAATAATGTTAAATTTTTTTCTTACTTTTTGATTTTTTTTATGTTGTAATATTGTTTATAATCAAAAGTTGACACCCACTACGTTTGCCAGAATTTCAACCGTTTTGCCGTATCTCAAGCCGTTTTCGAGATATAAGCGTTTTTAGATAGTTTTACGGACTTAGACGATTTTTCATGGTAAATTTTATTTGTACCCATATAAAATAATGTTAAATTTTTTTCTTACTTTTTGATTTTTTTATGTTGTAATATTGTTTATAATCAAAAGTTGACACCCACTACGTTTGCCAGAATTTCAACCGTTTTGCCGTATCTCAAGCCGTTTTCGAGATATAAGCGTTTTTAGACAGTTTTACGGGCACTGTCACAAGGGCCAAGTGAAGCGGTCACGAGACTGGGGAATCCTCAGGTGGTGACGTCACCGGGGACGAGTCTATATATAGAAGTGGCATCCGGGTGATATTTCATTCTCGAGCGTGATGCCGACCTGTCAACACTGCTCCGCCTCGCTGTCCAAGAAGAGCAATTTGGTCCGCCACTACAAGCTAGTACATCAAATGAAGGTGAAACTGTGCAAGGTATGTGATTTAATCTGTGATGATAATGTGGTTCTAAAATCGCATATATTACAAAGTCATAAGAATTGTAATTTTTGTAAGAAAAATGTGGTTGGTCATTTTAAAAGACATGTCAATTCTTGCAATAATTGTCCATATACAATGATTGAATTTGTTGGTGAATCGATTAGAACTGAACTTAAAAATACTCTTCAGTCTTGTCCTCTGCCAATAAAATGGACTTTAGTAAGGAGAATTAAATTTATAAAATATTCAATGGATCAAAGTGGACAATTAGTTAATGAAAAAGAATGTATTGCAGATTTTAGAAGCCTTACTACCTTAACTATTGAGAAAAGAGATTTAAAGCCTCAAATTGAAAATGCACCTTTAAAGATTGATGCTTCCATACACAAATACCAAGCCCAAGGCAGTGGATGGATATATGACCATACTAAGTATTGGCAGTTGCACGTTTACAAATATAAGCCCTTAACTCCAAAGTCATATATTCCCACACCAGAGAGTATTAAATCGAAACATGCAGTTTTAAATATAAAAAATGATGATAATAAATGTTTTCTTTGGTCGGTATTAGCAGCTTTATATCCAAGGAACTCTAATGAAAATGCTAATAGAGTCTCCAGCTATGCACCCTACATAGGTCATCTGAATATGACAAACATAAAGTATCCTGTGAAAATATCTGATATAGATAAATTTGAAAGACAAAATAATATAAGCGTTAATGTATTTGGGGTTGAAGATGATAAATGTATATATCCATTAAGAACAACCAAACTAAATAGTAATACTCACATCGATTTATTATTATTACAAGAAGGTCGTAAATCACATTACTGTTTAATTCGTGATTTTGATAGGTTAATGTTCCACTCTACAAAACATGGCCATAAGCAGCATTTTTGCAAGTTGTGTTTGCAACATTTTTACACTAGTGATAAATTAGAACGTCATATAACATATTGTAAAAACTTTGATGCCCAACGAGTGGAAATGTCGAAACAAGATACATTACAATTTAAAAATTATAAATATCAACTTAAAGCCCCATTTGTAATTTATGCTGATTTTGAGTGCTTTATAAACTCTAACAACCATATTCCATCTGGATTTGCATTTGTTGTAGTGAGAGATTCTAAGATTATTTCTGAAGAGTTATATAGTGGTGCAAATGTTATGGATGTATTTTTCAAAAGGTTATTTGAGACTTATGACTTCATTAAACGTCAAATGTCGATATATATTCCTCTTGTAATGACTCCTGAACAAGAGGCATCTTTCCAAAACTCAACGCATTGTCATATTTGTGAAAAACCCCTATATTTTGATAGGG